GCGGCCGTCAAAAAATTTCCGGTGCCAAAAGACAAGAAAGCCGTCAGGCGTTTCCTTGGCCTATGCGCATACTACCGAAGGTTTATTGCCAATTTCTCCCACATAGCCTCGCCGTTAACACGACTGACAAGAGAAGACGTTTCGTTCTCAAGGGGCGACGATCAACAGGTGGCATTTGACGATCTCCGACAACGCCTGCAGACTGCGCCTGTGCCTCCTCACTTTGATGAGGATGCTCCTACCATGGTCCACACAGATGCCAGCAACGTTGGTTTAGGTGCTGTACTCGTCCAGTGGCAAGACTCAGCCGAGCGTGTGATCGCATATGCTAGTAGGACGCTTTCCCGCGCCGAGTCCAACTACTCCACAACAGAAAAAGAGTGTCTTGCTGTCGTATGGGCGGTTATGAAGTTTCGTCCGTACCTCTAAGATCGTTCCTTCCACGTAGTAAGCGACCATCATTCCCTCTGATGGCTGACCAACTTGAAAGACCCGTCTGGTCGGCTCGCACGGTGGAGCTTACGCCTGCAAGAGTTTGATATGACGGTCGTGTATGCCGACGCCGATCACGCCGACGCCGATTGCTTATCAAGGTCACCGATAAAGCGCGACGATGACACAGAAGATGACAGCATGGCGTTTGTAGGAGTCGTTGACACTACTACGATTTCATGCAAGAAGAAAGAAGACAGCGAGTTGCTTCCCCTTATTGAATTTTTGAATGGCTGGACAACAACCGTCCCCAGAAGATTTGCAAGGGGCCTGCTGTCATTCTGCTTACGTAGTGGCGTTCTCTATAAGAAGAACTTTTCTGCCAGAGGAAGCACCCACCTACTTGTCGTTCCAACGTCACTCCGTGAGGAGATCCTCTGTGCTTCCCACGATGAGCCAACGTCTGGTCATCTCGGATATTCACGCACATTGGCCAGAATCCAACAGAGATACTACTGGCCAAGACTTCCAGCTATTGTGATGCATTACGTGCGCACGTGCCTCGATTGCCAACGACGAAAATCACCACCGTTAAAACCAGCAGGATGGACTATTACAACCAATTCAAGTGCCCACGGTACCTTTTGCCCAAATTGGAATGGATCTCCTCGGACTCTATCCGACTTCCCACGCTGGCAACAAGTGGGTAATAGTCGCCACTGATTATCTTACGCGCTACGCGGAAACAAAGGCTTTGTCAAGTGGCACCGCCGTTGAAACCGCACGATTCTTCGTAGAAAATATCGTCCTGAGGCACGGTGCTCCGACAATCATAATAAGGGATCGAGGTATCGCTTTAACGGCCGCGCTCCTGAAGACAGTGCTTGAGCTCAGTGGAACAGCCCATCGGAAAACCACTTCCTATCATCCACAAACCAACGGCTTAACAGAACGTCTCAACAAGACTATTGCCGACATGTTGAGTACGTACGTTGACGTGGATCACAAGAACTGGGACGACATTTTACCGTACATCACGTTCGCCTATAATACAGCGCAGCAAGAAACTACACAAAGAACGCCGTTCAGTCTCCTTCATGGCCGTGAAGGGACGGCGATGCTTGACGCCATGTTACTGCACGACTGCAATGACATCGATTCGGACGCTGCATCTTTACCCAACGAGCAGAAGAAGCGAGGCAGCTTGCACGCGTCCGGATCACCCAGCAGCAAAATTATGACGCCCAACATTATAACCTGCGACACCGACATGTCGTCTGTCGGCCTGGTGAAAAAGTCTGGGTATGAAGTCCTATCAGCCGCCGGAAACTGTCTGAAAAATTGCTAAAGAAGTTTTTTGGCCCCTACACAGTTTTACAATGCCTGAGCGACGTTAATTACGTGGTTGTTCCCGACAGCCCCTCGACAACTCGCCAGCAAAAAAACAGAAATCGTGCACGTTGTGCGAATGAAGCCCTATTTTTTGGACTGATTTACATCATACATCTACTACACCGTGTTTTGTCGAAGAGCATCGGGACGCTGCTCTCTGGAGGGGGGCAAATGCCGCATTGAATATGCAGCACCAAGGAAACAACGAAGTACACGCGCAGCAGGAGAAAGAAGAAGAAGTTCTCTTCCGATCAGTTTGCCAGTGTTCTGGTACAATTAAAGTGAGTTCCCTGTATTTAACTGCTGCTGTTTCTGCATTGCGACAATATAATGCTGCAGGTTCATCTCTGCTTGATTCGAGGCAAAAAAGAACCTTTTGGCGTTACCACGGGCGACAGCGCGAGTTCTTGAAAACCTCAGGTTTCGCCGAACTGCAATTCGTTCATGCGGTCGCGTTTCAGTAGCAGTTTCGGTATCACATGCTACTGCGTGTGCTTTACGGCTCTGAACGCTCACGAAAGTAGCCGTGGAGTAAAGTTTGACAAAATGACGCGTGCAGCTGATGTTGCCGGGTGCCCGAATAGTGTTTATACGCCGCTTGAGCGGCAAAAAAAAAAACTTGGCGTTTTTTTACGTCGGGTGCCGCGAAATGAACCCCTAAGCGCGTTAGTGGCTGAGTGCTGCGCCTCTGCGCCAGTGTGCGAAACCGCCAAAAATGTGCGCGTGTGATCGCTGCACCTTCGTGCGGAGGATTACGGGACCAACCGCAACCACCGTGACCGTAACTTTGGCAAGGCTTGCAATGAGCCCTTCCGTGCAGTTCTCTGCTGCTGCTAGTGTCGGTGGCCTAGCAGCAGAGACGAGTACCGTTCGGCAAGGCTGGTGCGTGAGAAAGCTTGTGAAGGCGGGTGATTTGAAGTGCGCTAAAGCCATGCGGACCGCTGAAGTATGATTTTATGTCAAAATAACTATTTCCTTGAGACGAAATAGCACTACGATGTTTCCAGACTGGTATTCAACTGTCAACGTCGTGTCAATATTTCACTTCAGTATCCCTTTAACGTATTCGTGACATGAGAGCTTCAATTAGAAGCGCAGCCAGCACGTGCACCCTCGCAGCAATGTCGGTTTATCGTTTATATGAGGACGCTCACTCATCTTGAACGTCTAGGAAGAATGTGGCAATCACGCTCTTACGCGTTTTGGTTTCGCCGCCGAATTCGGGACAATTTCATTACTTTGCAAACATAAGTTGAGGACGCTTTTTTAAAGTATCCATGATGTTCTGCTTTTCTTATTACGAAGGACTTTGATCCACCCACTCGGCACAAATTCTTAAGTTCATAATTTAAAATCCTGTATAATTAAATATTTTATTCCTGTTTCTTTATGATATATTTTAATTATATAAAAAATATATAATTTATTCCTGTTTCATCTTTAACCGTCTTAAAATGTCATCTGATAAAGAAAAGCAACTGCGAAGACAGCGAGCAAGTATCGCATTTCTCCGACTTTTGAGTACGTTGGGTACTACGCCCACTGTAGAACAAAGGCCTCTCCCATGTTCCGCCGGTCAATTTGGTCCTGTTCTTGCAGCTTGCACTTAATACCCGCAAACTTGCTAATCTCATCTGCCCACCCAACTTTCCGTCTCTCCCTCTCCCGCTTGCCTTCTCTGGAAGTCCAGTCAGTTACCCTTAATGACCAGTGCATGGTTGTACTGCCTATGCGCTATGTGCCCGGCCCATGTCCATTTCTTCTTGATTTTAACTATGATATCCTTAATCCCGGTTTGTTCCCTAACCCATTCTGCTTACTTTTTGTCTCTTAAGGTTACCCATGTGATTTTCTGTTCCATCGCTCACTGCGTCGTCCTCAATTTAAGCTGATCCTTCTTTGTAAGCCTCCAGGTTTCTGCTCCGTAGTAAATACCGGCAAGATGCAGCTGTTGTATACCTTCCTCTTGAGAAATAGTGACAATCTACCAGTCATGATTTCAGAATGCTTACTGAATGTGCTCTACCCCATTATTATTCAAGTTATTTCAATCTCGTAGCACGGCTTCGCGGTGGCTACCTGTCCTAAGTATACGTACTCGTTTATAACTTCAAGAGCGCTATTACCTATCTCGAAGCGCTGTTCTCTTCCGAGGTTGTTGTACATTACTTTCGCTTTCTACAGATTAATTTCAAGACCCACCTTTTTGCTCTCCTTGTCTAATTAAGTAATCATGAATTGCTATTCGTCTCCTGAGTTGATCAACAATGCAGTACCATCGGAGAAACGCAACTTACAGAAGCACTCTCCATCAGCTCCTATTCCTAGCTGTTCCCATTCTTGGCCCTCGAAAACAACCTGTAAGCATGCGATAAATAGCATTGCGGAGATTCGATATCCTAGCTTTACACCCTTTTTATTTGGATGTTGTCGCTTTTTTATGGAGAATTATTGTATCAGTTCAACGTCTGTACATTTCTTCCAGGATGTTTTTATATGCTTCGACGATGGCCTGATTCCGCAGTGTACATTACTGCCGATATCTCTAATAAATAAAATGGCTTTTCATAATTTATGAAGCCCATTTATAGTGGTTGGGTGCATTCTGAGCCTTTAATACGTGATTGATAGTATAAATGTGGTCGAGCGGGATATACACGTGTACTTGGTGTGAAGGCTGATTCAACCAAAAAGCTTGTTTCTCGGTGGATGAAAGGTCTTAGAGAATACAGATTTTGTTTTCCCAGCTTCCCAAAGCTTTTGCTTAACTCAGTTCGCAAATCCCATTATCTCTGTCCCCCCCCCCCCCCACCCTACCTTCATTTTACGGTTGAGCCCTTACATAGATTTTCTCGAGCGTATACGAGCAGTGTTCCTAACAAATGGAAGGCGGGGCTTATTCGTGTGTGCGCATGCGCAAATGAAGAGTGTACAGGTGTGGCTCACTTACTTGTTACGTGGCTGGAGCAAACGATAAGATCGTCATCCTCTATGTATAGCGTGCTAGATAGATATGTGGGGTTTAACGTCCCAAAACCACCATATGAGAGACGCGGTGTGTATAGCCTGCTGTGTACCTGAATAGACAGAGCACATTCGAACGTTAACTGTCTATGATTGATGGTGTCTGCTTTTGCATGTGCTTACTACACCAATGTCTTTTTTTCTTTCTGCAGGGAACTCTAATCACGCGGTTCCGACGACGACCCCAGCGGTCAATCCTGGTCGACTTCTTTCTGATCGTGGCCGGCCTTGTAGTGGTCGTGGTGCTTCTCTATTACTGGCTGTCCTGACGCCCGGTGCGGACTCTACACCTTTCAAGGATGCTGTGATTGGCGCCCTCGTCCTTCCACCCAATTTTGTCCAGCGTCACATCCTCAAGGCCCCCACGACGCCAAAGAAGCGGTGCTACGTGACAGTGTGGTCTCGTTGAACGAAACCACCTCGCGTATAGTCAAGTGATCGTCTGATCAAAGAAGTGTATACGATCTGTTTAAGTGAGACCACATCTCCTGTGCTGGTGCTGTGAACTCCTCTAAACGTCACCACTGATAAAGACAGCTGTTCCTTGATGTACTCTAGCGAGATTACCGAATCACCCACGATACACCTCCATGTAGTGCGTGTTTAGCCAGATCGCGACGCCCCTAAAGTGTCAGTGGAATTGTCGTCGAGAGGAACACCATTTAAGTGGAACCATGACAGAGATTCAGAGCAAACCCAGAATTTCTTTTGCTTGTATGTTTAGAGTATCCTGACTTAGAGACTTCCCGAGTCTTCTGAATGAATATTTGTGATCCTGTGCGTCACGACAGGAGCCGACTTGGTGTCTTGTACCATAAGCCCGCAGTAGCGGGTAGCCGGTGCTACAGGGCATATCTGTTAACTCGAATAAGTTACGATTGTGTGTTTTGTGTTGGCGCATTGCACTCAGGCGCGATGAAGTGCCGCATGCATTTATTTCCTCGAAAGACACTGCTTCGATTGAGTGAGCTAAAATGGCTATATGTGCGAGCCATTTGTTCAACTATAAGCAGTGATCAGAAGGCTCTTTAACAAAGAGATACCTCCAAAGCACGCTCTGCCGTGGCTGAGATACTCGGCTGCTAATGCGCAGGTCGCGGGATCGAGTCCCAGCTTCGGCGGCTGCATTTTCGATGGATGCGAAAATGTTTTAGGCCCGTGTGCCCATATTTTGCTGCACGTCAAAGAACCCCCAGATCGTCAAAATTCCTGGAGCCTTTCACTAAGGCGTCTCTCACAATCATATGTTAGTTTGGGGACATTAAATCTCGCATATCAATCAAAATCAACTTTCCAAGCACATAGGTATGGCGTCATTCCTTTCATAAAGACAAACTGGCGAAAGTGATAGATATACCCCAGAATCACTGCGCTGGTCTGGTTATCTCGTGATCAATTCAAACATGCTGGCAAGAGTTTTCTTTCATTCTTTTTTTTTGCCTGGGGGACATAGCGCAGTTTATTACGTCAGTGGGAGGAGCTCTAAAGCATGAATAGGCCAATATTGTGCATGACCAAACTATTGTTTTTGGCTAATGAACAAACAAACAATGAAAACTCCGGAATTCTAAAATATTCGGTGCTAGGACATTCTTAAAAAATCAGCATTATGAATACACTGAGTGAGTAACACTGTAACAATATATTCGAGAAAATGACGTCAGTGAACGGCGTACCTTTCTCAATAATTACATATTTCGTCTCCGAAGGACATCATTATTATATGGCTAATCAAGGCGATTTGATGTTTTACTTTTTTGGAAAATGAATCCTAGTGAGTCGCAATGTTTTTCTGTACGTTGGACTGCCCAGAATAATTATCGGCACTCGCATTTTTCGCCTATGCAGGCTATCGCGATTTCGGTCGAAGACAATGCTACTTCAACGTGCGCGCATGTAGCACGTAAAAATTTGTATATATTGAATTAACGCGTGGTAACGTTCAATGCTCCTTAGAGTGTGGACAGAAAGGTGTTAGAGAAAGTATTAGAGTTGGTATGGTAGATCCCTTGAAGGCAAGCGTGACTGTGAAGTGTACAGCGTCGTATTATAACACTGTGACGAGTGACACAGCTGTGCGCATTTCACGCAGTGGCTGAAGCGCAGCGTGTCTGTATGCTGCGTTGGGGACCAACCGACCCTAAGTTTTTACCACTTCAGCCAGTCACGTTCGATATTTATACTGTGCTTGTGGTGAGGAACGGCAACCACAACAATATGCGGATTGCTTGAGTGCTAGGCCGTCCACTGCAGAAGATGAGCGTCTGCTGCGAACTGTTTATCATACTTATTTCCATACAGCCACTAGGTCGAAATTAAATTTAAGTCGTAAAAAAAAGCTTGCATGCAAAATGTAGCGTATAGTGTACGTGTTTTGCTAACATCCATGGAACAGGAGGCTTCCATTTCCATTTTTTTTCGAGGCTGCCGTTGTTCGATGTACTTGGTGTGCCCTCTATGGCAGCTCTTGCAAACAGACCCCGTGAGCCTTGCATAGTGCGCATCCGTGCTGTTAAAATGGCTGAATGTCGGCCACCAGGTTTAGTGGTCAGCTGCGACATGAAGAAAGCCAGTTAGACGAAGGTCCCGCTTGCTTAGTTGCGCAGTTTAGGCAATTGAGATGGTTACGAGGATTGCTTATAGAGCCGCATCGTGCGTACGAGGCTAACTGACATTAACGGTCGAGTAGGGGCTTCATGAATTTACGCCAAGTGCTACGAAAGGAATTATTGGCCTCGTTACATTTCAGGCACTGCTAGAGAGCATCGGCACAGCGGCGCTGCCAACATTACCCTTTGCCCTACTTGTAACGACGATATGTTGAAAAGTGAATGTACTGTGTGTAAAAGTTGTACGCACAAAAGCTGCTTCGATTTCGTAACAGCGGAAGTGAAACCAATCAGGGCTGCAGAGATGCGAGTGGCGCTTACGACACTAACGTCAATTATCTTTTTTTTAAACTGCGCATTCATAACAATTGAATGACGTACATTGTGTAACATAATCATGCGCAGTTATCCTATGGAATATGTGTTTCACTCGCGTAAAGTGTCTGTATTCTTAAATTGCGCTTACTGATTGTAGGAGGCAAGGTGCTCAGTTTGTATGCCTCAGCTTGCTCGCTTATTTACGTTTCTGGTGGAGCTCACTGCACAATCAAGCGGTACCGATGGCTTTGAAAGGGTCATGAGCCGTCCACGAGTTGGTTGTCTGTGGTAGCAAATGAAATTAAGTATGCCTCGGCTGCATAGTTGTACTTGGTAAGGTAGCTGCCAGGCTGTCATTGTTACTGAAAAATGTTATTTGTACCGTAAACTAGCAAGCGCTAACTGTCAAAAAGACACCGTACGCGTATACCAGGAAGTACGATGTATCGTACGGTATTAGCGTTGGTGCAGAAAGCCCGGGACGCAAACGCCTCACCCAAGAGATTATCCTAACACACAAGCGGGGCACGCACAATTTAGGATAGTTCTGCATGATTGGCTGGGTAATGTTGCGACGTTTATTATCCATGCTTAGCTAAGTCACTGCAGTGGACGATATGCTTTGTGCTTTTCAACATTCACTGCAAATGTATCGAGTCATTTGCGACGACATTCACACTTGTCACAAATATCGCGCAGTAGTTATGCGCTTGATGTCGGTGTACATTGTTTTGTTCCGTTAGAAAGTGTGAATTCTTCGAGATCAATTACATATTTTCTATCGTGTGGTACCCGGACAAATGTACTGAACATGCGACATGGTGGTTTGCGGTGCTGTAGCGCAGGTTGACGAGAAATAAACTTTGTTCAGTGGAGTAAGGGAACAAAATATATGTGACCTAGGACAATATTATTATTTGTGCTGATGCAGACTGTACAGAACCTGTACTGCATTTTAACAAAGACATATTGTGAATGTGTGTTGCAGCAGCTGCACTTCCTTGTCTAGCATCAACGATAGTTGTAGAATTCACTAGTCAGGGACTGCGCGAAGTGTAGCCAGCAGATGAGCACACAATGTTTGAGCCTGTCAGTTAACTGGAATATTAATGGAAGGTAATTTATCTTTCTCTTTTTACAGGCACGCTAGATTCACACGTGGTCTGTGCCATGAACCGTCAAAGAATCTTAAATGACTCGTTGAAGGGCGGACGCATACGCGTATGACGCAGGCCTTGCAGGTTGTGCAAGCCTTTCATGAGAAAGCTGCAGTGCAGAGCGAATAGTTAGACTCACCTGATTACGCTGTCGTTACAGTCGTTTTAGGACTACTTGCTTCCTCCAACGAGTTACCCTCGTTGTATCTCTAAAGAGATAAATACCATGCATGCTATTCGTCTTTAAACATGTAAATATTTGGCATCTCAGTCATGATAAACAAATTATGCGTACGTTACAAGCCAGCCGCAAAAAAAATTGGAACACTGTTCATGGACTTGAAAAATGTACTAAGTCTTTCTTCGGAAAGCGTATGAGCTGGTGAACAGTACCACTGATAATGGCCGATTCCAAGATTCCTTGTACCTTGGCTTAGACGTCATTGACATCAGTTGAAAGCAGTATCGGCGTCACGAAGAAGGCAATGAGCCGTGCACAGAAATTCATTTTTGCGTGCTTAGGTGGAATGTGGCACAACCAAACTTGAACTGATGCGGGCGCATTGTCGCACGAATGTGAATCGAGCAGACGGTGGAAGACGCTATCGAAGTCTCGCAAATATTTGTGATGGTTTACGTACAGCCATATGCGTGCTGGAGTATTGTGTTTCGCCGTAAACTGTGTACTATACAATTGAGCATGATAAATTTCCTACCACGTTGATTCTTCGTCACTGTTTATGATGATACGTTCACCGTCAAATCCTGATATTTTGTGAGTAAGGAATGCGGTTTTGTTTATCAATAGCACGAAATGACGCGTCATATGTGTTTAACATGGTCACCGTATTTTGCTGTTGCTGTGCTCGTATTTTTCTGTTAAATAAAGTTCCACATTATTTATGAAAAATGGGAGCCTGGCAGCTCACCTTTCTTGATGGTTAAAGAGAAATTATTTTAGGCAGTCTCTCTAGTGCAAGGAGGGAAGTTATTGTATTCAGGTAAGTAGAAAAAAATGAGCGCAGATTGTGTATGAAGTGAAGAACTACCTTGGCTAGATGATATATTGGTAGAAAAAAATTAGGGAAAGACATTTCGGCATGTTGCTTCATCAGGTGCCGAGAAGTGACGTATAAATGCCGAAAAACATCTGTCAGTACGAACATACTAATTAATATTTGCCGAACAATAAACTGGGGAGAGCAAACTAGTTGAGGAGCCTCTTCTAGTGTGGGGGGTGCTACAGTGTGGGCACGAATACATGGCATGGCCATTAAGCAGCGAAAGTTGGTGGCTCACTTGAGATAATCCATGGCTGTGCTCTGAAAATGATGAGTCATTGTGGTATGTGTGTGGCGTAACCACAGATGCATGCCGTGGCTTGATATCACAGCCGTCAGGTACCGTGTAATTCTAACAACTGTACACCACTGGCCGTCGAAACAGGAGATGGTCTCACTGTGAAATCTGGGTTTCGAGTAACACAGAGGCACTGACGGCTGCCGGGGTCAACAGTAAGCCGGAACACTGTATAAGGAACAATATCAGTTGATCCGAATGCTGCTCTCGCCCCGTTTATCCACGCTGTCTGTGTTCGCAGGCGCATATCGCTTCAAGACACGGGGCTGTTTCAACTTTATGACAGTCGCCTGTTACTATTGTCCTATAGCCAGTGAAAATAAGCATCCATGTCAAATAAACGAATACAAGTTCTTCCTGCAAATGGTCCCAAGCCACTTTAAAGATTTCTGAAAGGCGGCGAATGCTAATCACCGGGAACGATGAAATTTGGCTAATTCAGCTGGTGAAACCGAAACTGACGCACCGAATAGCGCATCTATACCATTCACTTCAAAAACGTCCTCAACAATGATACTCTTTTCCGCAACGTTATCAACCACCAATTGGAATACTTCGCTTCATCGCAACGCTTTCCGGCCGCCGCCCGCTTATTGATGCTCGCGTATCATCCTCCCCCAATGCGAGGGAAACAGTGTCGTCGTTGAGAGTGTTTTTGAAGTGAATGGTAGATGTGCGCTTTAGTGGGCCGGTAATTAGCAATTGGCGGTTTTCGAAAACTTCAAAGTGGCTATGGCATATTTGCAGTAAGTAATTGAATTTGCCCATTTGTTCAACGGTCTATTTCCAGTTGATAAATAGTTAATTGCTTTAATTTTTATGATCACTTCAATATTAATGTTTGTACGCTTCTGAACATGCCTTTTGCCGCAGAAATAGAAACGCCGCAAGTTGCACGCAGATACCGCGAAATCTCAACAGGCAAGATGAAACATGTTTACACCGCATCCGATTAACCGTTGCATATACGAAGTACTTCAAGAACAAAACTGGACTGTCCGACTCAGCATTTTGTGCCCTACGTAACGTCGTTGAAGACATCAATCATGTCCTCTGTGAGTGCATGATATACGCATCAAAGAGACAGTATCTGAAGTCGTCAATGTTCGCTAAGAAATGCTTCGCCTTTAAAAAAAAATTAGCAGATCCTACGTACCTGGGAATCGACCATATGCGAAGCATGCGGAAAAAGGTGACCGTGTTGCAATTTTTTTATTGAGCGACACGTCATGAAATGACGCCGAATATATGTACATATGTTGCGCGTGCAGATTTAAGTTGAAGAGTTGCAGATGTTCATATAACCAGTTGTTTGCACTTGCACAACGATGCCAACTGTAACACGCGTATTAGCAACACCAGAAGCTGATATGAAGCGCTGATACTCGCGAAAACGTTGGCCCTGGACGCTGCTACATAAATGAACAACAGCGCATGGCAACTAACTACAATTGACGTTCCCCTAACGTGACGGCTCTATGAAAGAAGTATATATGTAATGTTTATAAAGTAGGGTAGGCAGCACTGCAACTACTATTGATTTTTCACGAAGATTATTGTCTGTTTGAAAAGAAGCTCCGAGACCTGGCCTAGCTCTGTGGTACAATGCTTCATCGCCATGCAGAATGCTTGGATTCGATTCCAGTTGGGACCCTAACATTGATTCTTTGCATTCGTCCGGTCGACGCTACACCGATGTCGGGTATTTCTTAACGCTCGCGCGTTAAAATTGCCCATGTGTGTTGTCGTCGTTCCTGGGTCGATACTAAGTGTCAATGAGCTTTGGCACATACCCGCATACGAGCGGCACATACCCACCAGTTGGTATTTGCCACTGTCAGGCGGGAAGTGTTTTATGACGTACTGGGTATGTGCCACTGTCAGGCGGGAAGTGTTTTATGACGTACGTGACAGGATTGTGACATTATTCATGTCTTGACCAGGACGTCACATTCGTCAAACGATCTTACCCTCCCATGCTAATTTTGGTTCACGCCACGTTAAGAGGGTGACTACAAGATCACCCAAACGTAAGGGGATAGATAGAAAGATAGATAGATAGATAGATAGATAGATAGATAGATAGATAGATAGATACGCTCAATGTCGCTGAAGTTCACTGAGATGTACTTCGCAATTAAAAAGCTCTCTTGAAGAACAATTAAATATGAGGTTAGGTGAATGACAGAAATTTTGAAGAACATGGAAGCTGCATAACTATCTACATACTAATAAAATTGCATTATGAACTTTCTAACTGGTAAAGCTTGGAGGCAGTGGAGTTCTTCGTCATTGCCAGTAAACAAGCTGCTCAGATTTTATTTTATATTTGGTAGAAACGTAGAGTTATGAACGCCATACGTGCATGCGCTTTTCGTTGTATATATACATCATCAATTGAAAGTAGGCAACGCGCTGCATGAAAACACTTACGTGCTTGACGACCATAAATGAAACATAAGTAATTGAATGACTGGTCATAAATGGTACAGAAACATACGCGGGAAAACATGTCACACAGTGCATCAGAAAAACAAAACTTGGCAAATCCCACGTACTGTGGGAATCGATATGCGAAGCACGAATGAGAAATGTTGATATGTCACTTTAAAATCAGCGCAACGTTACGAGGTGGAAGTAAACAATGCCATATATGGCTACCGTGTCATCATTATCATGTTTGGATGTTTCGTTTACCTTCGTCATCTATTCACGTCACGTGATACCAAATTTAGTATACGTGGAGCTAGCGAAATGGCCGCGAGGATGCACGCTATGAGCGTAGTATGTTGTCATGTTCTTACATGACACGTGCGTCAGGATCATCATGTGTCCACCTGTCATATACTTCGTCATCTATCGACGTCACGTAACACCAAATTTGATGTATGTGGAGCTAGCGAAACGGCCGCGAGCGCATCATGAAGGGCCCAATATACTCCTATGCAGCGGGGACACGCGCGCACGCTAGGCACACTGACGCAACGTTACCATAGTCTGACGTTACTATAGTCCGACTCTACTATAGTCTGACGCCAAACGCGACCAGCGTCTCTTTGCACGGCCCGACGGGTAACCGGCGCGAAATGCGACGTGCTGCATTTTGCACTGATACGTTACCCAGACAACACTGCGTCTCCCTCTTTTCGTGACGGAGCGATGCTGGACGCGCTAAAACGCGCGTCCTTTAAAGCAACGCAGCGCGGTGCGCGCCTGTGAGAAGGCAGGACCAGTGCCTGGCTTGGCAACACCGGTGTGACGAGACGAAATAAACGTCGGTGAGCACGCGCACCGCGTCACGTCTAAATTTATTGGCGCCTTGACTGTGGCATGTAGTCATGTTCTCGCATGACACGCATCCGATGATTATCATGTTAGCGCCAGTCACATACCTTCGTCATCCATTCACCTCATGGAGCACCAAATTTAGCATATGTGAAGCTAGCGCAACGACCGCATCATCAGTGTGGCATGTAGTCATGTTGTTACATGACATGCATGTCGCGATTATCATGTTCGGATGTGTCCTTTACCTATGTCGTCCGTGCACGTCGCCTAATACCGAGCTTGGTATATGTGAAGCTAGCGAAACGGCCGCGAGCGCATCATGAGCGTTGCATGTAGTCATGTTGTTACATGACACCCATGTCATGTTTATTATGTTTGCACCAGTATAAAACTTTCGTCATCCATTCACGTACTGTAATACCAAATTTGGATATGTGACGTTAGCGAAATGGCCACGAGCGCATCATGAGCATGGCATGTAGTCACGTTGTTACATGATATGCATGTCATGATTTTCATGTGAGGGTCTGTCGCTTGTGTTCGCCATGCAGTCATGCCATACAAATCCAGTTTTGCAACAGCCACGTGAACGAAACCACCGTAGAAGCAGCAAGACGATGACATATAAATTGTGACATTTGTGACACATATGTCATGATTTTAATGTTATGACTAGTCAGTTATGTTAGTCATACAGTCATGTTATATCATACCAAGTTTGGTATCGATACCATTATCCAAACAGCCAGGAGAGCTAAATGTCCTAGGTGGATGGATAGATAGATGAATAGATAGATAGATAGATAGATAGATAGATAGATAGATAGATAGATAGATAGATAGATAGATAGATACGCTCAAACTCGCCGAAGAATTCGATAAGAAATGCTTCGCATTTAAGAAGCAGCCAGACAATACGTGACAGATACTCAGTTTACATGGTAGCCAAATTATCCAGGCCAAAGGTTTTGATCTAGTGTGTATATATCAGCCCATAAATATAACAGAGATTTTGGGCATATGTGCCAAATGTCTGTGGACACTATTTTGCCAAGTGCCCGAGAGAAGACATTGCCACGGAAGCCGACAAAAGCTCTGTTAACACGGACTTGAACAAGCGGCTGTATAAGCAATGTCACACACCGTGAAAGACAAGACTGGACTATGACTGAGTGGGCGCGCGTGTGCTGCCGAATGTGCTGTGTTTATCTCTCTTCCCTCTCTGCTCTCTATCTTTCGTCTCCCCCATCCCCCTCCCATGCG